AATGTCCGCTTCCATGTGGACATCACTTGTGCCACACCTCCGGCCGACACCACCAATGGATCGCTCGACAAGCCTACAGACAAACCCACTATTTATTGCATTACATTCACATTGATTTCGGGTATAAATTATAAGACATTTGAATTAAACGCTTCATTTCACTTGACATTAATTGGCATTGATTTGCATTTGAAGGTCCGTTGCGTCGATTCAAGCGTATCTGCGATCACATTCAGGCACAGGTGTTGGGCAGTCGGAGGGCCGGCGGTCAGCACTCGCCGCGAATGGGTCGGCGGCCGACCCGCGAGTTGAGTGACACGAGTTCTTGCGGTTCGTGCGGTTCGGACAGCCTATCGCCGACACCGACACGACTGCACGTCAGCGAAGACACCGTGAGTTTGGCGGCGGCTGTGGTCAACACGAGCACAACTAACCTGACGGGTGCGCTGTCCCGGTGTAAGTCAGATCAGGACGCGGCCAAAGACATCTTCGAGAGAGAGGCCAAACTGATGAATGAGAGACGACAAGAGAGCGTTCGTCTCATCGCTAATCTCACAAACGGAAGGCGTCTTAGTTTAGAGCCCAAACTTCAAACCGACAAAGTATGAGATGATTAGCCATTTATTGGTTCAATTGATTCGCCAACTGATTTGGGATTCACTCTCTCACTCATCTCAATAAATATATATTAAATACAAATATTAACACAATTTTGTGCATCGATTGGTTCATTGAAAAGACAATTCAATTGTTTGATTGAATATTGGTTTTGTATAATCGAAATGTTTTTTACATCAATTAAAAAGTGCAATACATATATGTGTTTGAAATTAAATGTTTGAAACAAAGGCCAACCGAATGGATATTATGTACTATTTGTGTAATTAATTCACATAAGAATCGAAAACTTTATAATTAAAATCAATTGAGGATTAAAACTATGAGTGAAAATCAGTGAAAATAAATGCCAAAAACAAACCAAACGAACAGAATATTCAATGAATTAATGAAAAATATTCACAAATGAATAGACAAATTATTTTTAATTGTATCCTTGAGGATATATCGACTCAATTAATACAATTATATTAAATATAAATATATATTAATTAATGATAATTATTGGAAACGATTGAGTCCTTCACACAAATTAGGTTTTGAATTATTAGAAGAAATAAATAATTTTTGGAAATTTGACAAAACAAACGACTACTTCTCATAAGACTCGACTCACCACTCATTTCTCAGCAAAAATTATTATTAATTTGTGTATAAAGAAAATTAAAAGCCATTGAATTCTGTGTTAACAAAAGCGCATACATTATGTAAGAGCCCATCAAAAAACGATATCAATTGTACACTCATTTGATTAATTAAATTCTCATTCAATTGCATGAATCAAAAACACATTCAAACAAATATGAAGACAAACATAATATAAAACTCAAAATTACCATAACAAAATTAAAAGTCTTTGAATTCTAAATACCATAATGTATTCTCAATCTGGAAAACACAACAAAAATTCATGTATGAATTTCGTTATGAATTTAGTAATAATTGACTTTATTTTATTTGTTTGCGTATAACAACTGAAATATATGTTATATAATAATAGCTATCATTTGATTATTATTTTTATTATATATAAATATTTGTTAATAAAAATAAATTAATTTCATTGAAAGCACTCGTGTTTGGTATTGATTTCCATCGTAACAATTGTTACATTTTATATCCGTTTAATTATTTGGTTGTTTTGTGACAAGAATTAAACGAAATTATATAATAAACCAAATAATAATAATTATTAAGTTATATAATTCTTAGTTATAATGAATGCAGCGTTGATTTAGCGTTCAAATCATGGGTTTGTAAATATTTTTGCCATTATATAACCAAATAAGTAATTAATATTCAGTATAACTCATTGCATTGATTTCGTTATAATTATTAACTTTATTAGTATTTCATCACTAATTCTTTACATCATTTAAATGAACCGTAAATTCTTTAAAAGTTAATTATTTAAACAGACATTTTTGATCAACAATTCATATCTACTATCAAAATACTTCATTACAAGTATGTATTGTATTATAATTATAGCATTTATAACATTTAAATTTAATCTCAAGTGTTATATATTCAACAAATATATTTTTCAACAAAACTATTCATCAAATCTTAATTAATTCGTTTGACAATTAATGCACACTTTAAACAAATTACTTCGTAATTAAATATCTTATTAATGCAATCATTTTGCTTATAATAACATGTTTTTGGAAATGTATTGAAATAATTTCAAACAAATTAAATTAAATTACAAATAAATTTCATAATTTGGCAGATAATAGATATATAATTGTAAATCAGTTTAAAAATAGCGACACATTATCCATGAAAATGATAAACCATTTAAATATTAAAGGGTTTTAAGAGGAGAGACAACAAGAAGAGTAAATTGAAATAACAGAATATTTGCATAAAAATAAAAAAGACATTAATTATTGAATTTAATTGGAAATTAGTGCACGAAATAGACATTAAACATAAAAGTATTGTATTTTTTATGTTACACTCGATTAGTCCCAAATTCAGCCTTAAGTTAATTATAATTATATAATTATTATAATATTTTCTTTTAATTAACATGATTTAAGTGGAAAATAGACTCTTTAAGAACATTAATGTAAGGTTTGTTTGTTTTTAACAATTATTGGCTTTAATAACAGGAGAAAAATAGACTCAATTTATATATAAAATACTTGATATTAATCTTAAACCAAAAAATATAATGAAATATAAATCATATGAAAATAAAATTAATGTTTAGTAAAATATATTCAAAAATCTATGCATCGATTGTGCGGTAATTCCTAAATATTCTGTATATTTAATAACTTATCGATAATGAGTTTGCAATTAAAATGGTTTTTATAAATATATTTGTAATATATTTCGATATATTATAATAGATTTAAAATCCAATGATTTTAGTTTTAAACGCTTTATCAGAAATATTTCCAACAAATAAGTGGTTAATTCATCGATAAGTTGTGTATTTGGATAACAGGGAATGTGTGCACACATTGGCACTCATTTTCACTCAACATTTATCATAATATTATTTTGTTGGAGGAATTCTTCGTCGGAATTAAAAGTACTGTTGATATGAATGAGGGATACGTTTGACGCCTTTATTCGACAAAATTTTGCAAAACTCCTGCACCGCCTCCGAAGCCATAGCCTTTCGGTCCATACATTTTGCCATAACATGCTATTAAATACACAAAAATATATATCAAAAATGATTTCAAACAAATTGGTTAATCTCTAGATAAATAGGTAAAAATGAGTTATACTTTTGCAATATATTTCTCCCTCGCGTTCGCAAAGAGAAGTGGATTCGAGTCGTTTGTGACACTCCTTACATGTAAAACATGTACTTTTATGCCAAGCCTTCAAATCAAAAACAAATAATACTTTAATTTAAAAGAAATATTTTCGACCAAAAACAAAGTGTTTTGTGCGGCACTCATAGCAACGCATATATAAACACTTACCGATCCGCCGCCCATCATCTTCTCGGCCATATAGACAGCTGTTAAAAATACAAACAAATTAATAAACAATTTATAGATATAATTAAAGGCCTAAAAGAGACAAACCTTTGCCACAACGGGGACAGACGTCTGCGCCGCCAAACACTGGCCTATTTGTGCCGTTAGTTTGCGGCTGCGGTGACGGCGGACCCCTTTTGGGTGCTATGAAGGCCTGGGCTGTGGCCGGTATGTTACTGGTCGGCGGCCCGTTTGTGCTGTCGCCCGTGTCCATCGACAGAGTGCCCGCCCCCTGACCGTAACCATACCTATCAAAATGTACAACAAATGGCATCAATTATACACGTCTTATCAAAATTGTGTTTAGTTTTCTTTATGTTTGTTTTGTTGAACTTTTAATGCGATTTCAAGTTTACATGAGAGAGAGAGAGAGAGAGAGAACTCTGGGCTCAAAAACTATTATGCGATTAAATCAAATATTGAATAAAAATATTTTTA